CCTAAAGTGGTTATTTAGTGTTATGGGATGTATGCTTGTGCAGCTAAGTATAATGGACAATGAAGAATGATTTTATCTCCCTTTGAGAACATACATACACTATTCTATATTTGTACCTTCAATCTCTTAATTTAGATAGGGAGAACTTTTTCTGATCAGCTCTCACTTGCCAATAATTTTGTTCTACATCTAAATGAAGAATGGGAGTCATATAAGTTCACAGATTGAATGGGTGGCTGATTTGCAAAGCCCTTAGAATGTGGCTGCAGGCTGACGCTCGCAACCCCATAATTAGACATGGCATGCTTTGCAACGATGTATTTTTTACTGTTTTTTAATAACTCAGTCTTCCTTCTGGGATGAGGGGAAAAATGGAATTTGTTAAAAATAAATCGAGATTTAGTGGCTTTTCAGCCTTCTGTTGCTTGTTGCTCAAAAATAGTCTATAAATAAGAGAAGCCCTGCCCTATAGTGCACTGTAAACACCCACAGATACTCAGAGCCAAATTCTTCCAATTATGACCCTGTGCCTGTTGCCAGGCTACTGCGAGGACCTACTTGAAAGGCAGCCATCTAGGCCATTTCCTGATTAAGCTCCCCTGCAGCAAGGAATCAAGGCCTGCAGCTTTGGCATCATATATAGTCTCAAATAATTGTTCCATGTTCTTGAAATGGAGTCTTTTCCTCGTGATAGAATTACCGTTCAGAGGTTAGCGAAAAACCACCACCCATTCGTCCATCTGCCTGGGCTGTTTGTATGTTTAAGATCTGGGTCGTCATGTGTTGGATTAAAATCAGGTAGCAGAAGTGCATTCACAACCACATCTCTAATTGTGTTGAGCAAATCAGGGTCACACAAAAATAGGTCAACTATTGACATGACAAGTGAGCCAGATGCAGCCTGCCCTTCTGCCCAGCGGTTTCCTCGGAACAGTTTGGGCCACCGCTGCCCAATGCATCAGGCTGAGGTGGTCGTTTAAAAGTCCCCAGCACACCCCAAGAGCGGCAACGTGGTTGGCTTCAGGTGTCGGTCTTACTGCTCTGCAGTTCAAATGTCAGTACCTGAGTTGGGCCTGCGCTGCCCCTCGGCTATTGTGCGGCTTCCACAAGCCCTTAAAGAACCAAGAGGTTGCAGCACACCACCCTCTCACCAAGAGAGAAATTACTTCCAGCTCCTCAGAAACCAGGAGGCTCAAAGCAGCACTGAGCAAAAAGGGCTCTGGCTAGAAACCAATAACCCTCCCACCCCAAACCGGCCTCTTCATTCACTATGGGCTCAACTGGGTGCCAGAGGCTATGATTCCCAGCCCAGGAGCTCCAACTCTGCAGGGGAAGACTGTGACTGAACAAGTATCTCCCCAAAGAGAACTGATTTGCACTCCGTGGTCAGATTTTCCAAACTCAACTTAGGGAGGCAGCACTGTTTAAAGCAGGAATTCTGGAACGCTTGCGACCCAAGAGTCACAAAACGCTGACCCTCTCCAGAGAGGTCTCCCCTTGCTGTGTAATATAAAGTGGTCCTTCCTGTGAGTCTCACACTGCCCCTGGTCTCTAACCCCTTAATTACAGACATTATCTTGTGCACTTGTGCCTGCTCTGTTTAGAGCGTGAGTAGCAGGAGAGTAGAGACTCTGTCTTGTTCTTGACTGTTTGCAGAGCCGCTGGAACACTCACTGGCTCTTAGTAGGTGGTCAGTAAACACCCAATGAAGAAGCCAGGCATGGTGGCGCATGTCTGTAACCCTATCCAAGGCAGGAAGATTGCAGGCTCCAGGCAAGCCTGGGCAATTTAGCAAGATCCTGTCTAAAAATAAAAAATTCAAAAAGGGCTGGGGAGGTAGCTGAGTGTGATGGCCCTGGGTTCGATCTCCAGTACCAGGGTGGGGGAGAAAGCCCACTGAAGAAATGCATGCCTATCAGACCTCTGCAAGAGCATTCTATAGGTCAGGCTCCTGAGTCCCCCCAGCTGTGCAATGAGGTGACTCTCCCAGACCTCTGTACACAAGAAAAATGGAGGCTCAGAGATGGTACCTGATTTGCTTTGCTCAGAGTTGCACATCTAATAAGTGATAGAAGTGGAATTCAAAACAGGGCATAGACAGTTCTAATCCTGGTTCGGTAATGAACATCTATTGCTTTTATAATTCAGAAAAAGCAAAGAAGAAAAACTGTGGAGGAAAAACTACTCATCAGAGACAGCTTTGTATCGACTGATCTACTATACAGCAGATTCAGTGACTGCCATCAAAATCCAAGTCTCATTTCCACCTACAAAGGGCACTGGCACCATAGCCAGAGCAAGAGGAAGGACTCTGGGGCCTTTGTTCATTCCCTGGCAGTAACAATCATTACTGCTGTCGCTGTCAGAAACAGCGGCCTTATTCTCAGTGGTTCACTGGGAATGATCCAAGGAGAAGCCTAGAAGCCAGGTTGACATAAGGAGTTAAGGTGCTTGGAATCTGCCTTCTCCCAAAACCTTATCTTGAAAACTGGAAAAATACATAAATAGGGGAAAAAAAGCATATTATTTTAGAATTGAACTTTCAAAAGCTGTAAGTTAAAAAGTAGAGATTTATATTTACCTGAACTGGGACCATTAACCTCTGCTGAAGCTAAGGATATCTCCCTGTACAATCTACAAATCACAATAATATTCCTGTTTGTCTTATGTTTTATAGCCAAAAAACCCTCCCCAATCTGTCTGTTAGATGCACACATGGCTTGAATTTATGCACAAATCTCATCAAAATGGACAGGCTAGTTCTAGTGTGTGAAGACATTTCTCAAATATGAGAAATAAATGCAAATGGCAAATATGATCAAACAGGAATGTCCAAAAACTATCAGGATGCTTGGCAGCCTTCAGACACATGCACCCTAACTGAAACGTATGCCTCCATGGTTGTAAATGAGGAATGGCACATAACCCAACCTATGGGATCAGGAATTTTTAACTGGGATCCCCAGGTAGACTTTGGGGAAAATGTCTCATGAAGAGTGCTGGGCTTGTAAGTATTTGTCACATGAATTTTTTTTCTGGGCAAAAAGTTTATAAATTTTACCCGATTCACACATGGAGCTATGATCCCCAAAGACTAGAAGCACTCACCCAGCCTGCTGTGCCTGTTTGATTTAGACAGTCCGGCTGATGAGGGAAATTTCCATAGGGAAGATACCCTGGCTTGCACAGGAGACAAGCTGGTATTGATGGGGTGGAAACTTCCAAGCTCCTGCCCTGACAATCCAGCCACTGGGAACTGCTCATTCAGTGACTAAAAGGAGGCCTCTGGCTAACAGGAACCAAGAAACTGCTAAGCCTTATGTTGAGCTCACTGTCCCTGACAGGGACAAATGGCACACCCAAAAAAGAACAGGCTAGCCAACTCCGGGACCAGAAACTCAGACAAGATAAACTTGGGGGTAACAATGTGGGACAGGAAAAAGAATAAAAGCCTTGGAGCCAGGCAGCTACTGTGTAGCCGGAGCCCTGGGACAGTGATGATGGTGGTGGTGATGATGACGCCGACGCTGACACTGACGCCGATGGCGGTGGCTACGAAGACAAGGACTCTATCTGCAGCCAACGTGTTACGGCTTATTGACAGCACAATATCTAACACACAGTAAACAAGCACTTCTGCACTTATACAATAGCACATGTTATTTCATTTCCACAGCAACTCCCTATATTATCTCCATTTTCCAAGTCTGGAAAAATAAAGTTAAAAAGATTAATTGGCATTCCCAGGGGCCACTGCTAGCTGGGATTCAATCCGGGTCTGTTTACCTTAAGTCCATACACTTACCTGCTATTATCATTAAAAAATGATGATAATTCTAACTACCCTACATTAGACAGAATGCAGGTGAGGTGTTTAAGGCCCTGCCTGGCACGGGGGAAGTTCTCTAGTGCTCGTGATACTACTCGTGATACTGCTCTGATAGGGGGACTTTGGGGAGTGAGAGGGGTGGCAGGGGGAGCACCTGGCTCCACAAACAGTACAGCCTTTCCCTTCACAGGGCTGGCAGCATGAGCAGGGACCCAGGACCAAAGTGTTGGGACTGGGATGACACGCCTCTATTAGGAGCACAGAGGGACTCCCCAGCAAGACGGGCAAGAATTACTCAGAAATAAAAGGATTCCCATCAAAACTTGGAGGGTTGAATTTTGAGAAGAAGGAATAATTCAAGCACAAAAAGACAGTCTCAGAAAGGCCATATCAGAGAGCTGGGAGCTGCTCTGCAGTCTCCATGCACAGTCTGTCCCCGAGAGTGTGGTCAGGGAGGTGGTGTCAGTCAGTGGCAAGGCCTAGGCCAGGAAACTGAGCCCCCTGGAGGTCTGACTCCTCGGTACTGGGGGAGGGCAAGGGCTCCCATGCATTAGTGAGGGTGATGCTGAAGCCCTGGATATCGGCCAACCCGGCCTAGAACCTGGGTAGAGTATGCATTCTAGAAAAGGGGGTGGCAATGTGTTAAAGCAAATCTGCTCTGAGTCACATATGGACAAATGCAGGCACTGCAAGCGAGAACCAACGTCTTAGTGAGGTTTGGCGTGTGAAGACCAACAGACCCACCTGCAGGAGGAGCATCACACTCGCTGACTGGCACCACCTCTGTGACCACACTCTCAGGGACAGAGTGTACGCGGTGACTGCAGAGCAGCTCCCAGAGATGCAGCACCAATGGCACTGCACAGAACATGCACCCAGGGCTCATGTCTGCTTGGTACTGCCAGCCTTTTCCCACACCAGCTCATCCCCTCTTGCTGTTCCTACAAAGGCATCACCATACCAAGTTATCCCACTAGAAATCCAAGACACTCAGAAGTCTGCGGGTCCCGTCATCTGTCCCCTCTTCTCCCCTGCAGCACAGGCTAGGCAGCAATTTCCGGCACCATTTTCACAGCCTCTAAAGTAGTTCTGCTGCCTCCCTCCCACAGCCCGGCCCCCACACTACCACCAGCTGGCTTTCTAAAATAAAAGTGCTGACCGCGTCACTCACCTCCTGGAAGATGTCTACTAGGCCCGCGCCTCCTGTGGCATAAACGCCCAAGTCTCGGCTTGCACACTGGCATGTGCTCGCTCACTCACTTGTTCATTCACCCATCTAGTGTTTCATCATCGCTGCCTGTGTGCCAGGCTCAGTGTTTAGCTCTGGCATGGTGAGTGCAAGAGACAAGAAAGACAAAGACCTTCCTCATGGATTTAGGCAAAGAGTAAACAAGAAGACAAATATACAGTATAAGCTCAGGTGGCGATGGGTGCTGATGAAGAAAAACAAAGCAAGGTAAAAGGACAGAGTGGTTGCTGGGGGAAAGAGTACAACAGCGCTTTTTTTCGACCGGTGAGAGAGAGAGCACATGAACGGAGACCAGAACGGAGGGAGGGTGCGCCAGGCCAGACGAGGGGAGAGAAGGACCCAGGCTAAGGACAGCAAGTGCAAGGACACAAAAGAGGACCAGCAAGAAAGACACGGTGTCTGACATGGAGTAAGCTGACAGCGCGGAGAGATGAGGGCAGAGAAGTAAGCGGCGGGCAGGCCATGGCAAGAGGCGTAGATTCTATTCCATGGCGGCCAGAAAGCAGGAGCTTCTCTACTTTGTAAAGGTCACTCTCCTCACTAGGCAGAAACCTGACAGCAGCAGGGCCAGGGTGGAAGTGGAGAGTCCCAGGGAGAGGGGTGGCGGCTTCAGGGTGCGCTCTGGAGGAGAAGCCGTCTGGAACTGCAGCAGACCCATGATGTGTGGGATGAGGGCAGGGGCAGCATTAACCGCGCTGCCCATATTCTGGGCCTGCGTGGTGCCACGTGAGACAGGGAAGACCGGAAGACCAGAGAAGAACAAGGTCGTGTTTTGGCTTTTTCATCTTTTCTTAAGGACAAACTGAGACTTCTTGCCCGTACACTTCGCAGTGTAGCTGCTGAGCAGGCGGTGGTGTGTGAGTTAAGGGCTTAGGGAAAAGGCCCAGGCTGTTTACTCAGACTTGGGGGTTGTTAGTATATGAGTGACTGCCGTGATGTGGCAGCATGGATCCTCCACTGCTTGGCCCCAACTCTAGACAGGTGCCCAATGTGTCACCCTGCCCTGGGGCCCTGAACTCTGCCCTGTGACTCCTTCTGCTTGGGATGCCCTTGCTAGACTTCTACAGGCAGCAGACCCTACTCATCTTCTAACACTTGCTTAGAAGTCACCTCTTCCCTATGATGCCCTTCCTGACTCCCCGAGAGAGAGCCACTGCCCTCCTGTCTTCTCCCACTGCACCTCACTATGACCTCAACAATGACCCAGCCCATGTGCCACCTCATCTGTTTACCCCTTCCCCTCAGTGAGCTTCTGGAAGGCAGGGACTGCAACTCTGTTCCTCTCTGTCCCCATCGCCCAACATGAAGCCTGAGCACAGCGGATATTTACTAAATGAATGGAGCTCTCCTGTCTAAAAGAGGAGTGAAAGAAATTACATCCATGCAAACTGACTCACACTGCAGCTGCTGTCTGCAAGGAAAAAAAGGTGGAAAAATAAGGCGCTGTCACTGAGCACTAATAAGCTCAATGGGAAAGAGTGATATCTTCCCTTGCAGAGCTTCTTAACAATCTAGAAGAGCTGCCAGGAACCTAAGAGGTGAGTATCTCAGGGGATGCAAGGTGTGACAAGAAATGTACCTGATGAAGGTGTTCTGGGTTTCAACTGTGGAAACAGCCAACAACCAGTGCACCAGGCATCAAAGACAGAGGGAAAGAGGTGACATCCCTTCCATTTAGCCCTGAGAGGAATCCTAGGGGCCAGGTACTACAAGCCTTCCTCCATAGATGAGGTCAAGGAGTTACCGAAGAGCTCAGTGACCTGACCAAGGTCACAGAGCTGGAGAGTGAAGGTCTCATACCCAGGCCTGCTAACACCAGTGCTTGTATTCCTTCCAGCACAGTCCAGAGCCTGCCTCTCAGACACAGGTTCCCACAGCAGCAGCACCCTTAGGATCCTGTGAGCCTCGGACTGCACCGAGGAAGCATGGTTCTGGAGAGGGGACGGGATTTACCCAGGGCCGCCTACAGGAGCTGCAGTCTGATCTCGCACTCCTGCCCAGGCTCTGGGAATGCAGCCTGCATTCTCACACATACTCCTTAGTGGGCACAGACAAAGCAAAAGCAAAAACAGTCTCACAGTCTAACCTATCTGCTCACATGCACCTTACAAATATATGTGAGAGGAGACAGAGATTGTGTCTTTCGTGAACTGTGACTCACATGGTCCTGAGGTCCCACAAACAGGCATTAAGGTAACTGAAGAGCTTTTACTGCACCAAGCAGATGACAAAACCAGCAGCATGAGTTGAACTGACCAGTGCATGGTAGCTCTCTCAGAGCCAGACACACTTTGCTGCACCTGTTGTGTGCAGAACTCTCCACAAGGCAGCCCAGAGCAGGGAAGAGAACCCTGGAGCTGAACTGTGGCTCCTCCACTCACTACTTGTGTAATATTCTGAATTCTAACCGCTCTAAGCCTGTTTCCTCATCTATACAAAAGACTGCACCGCCCATTTCACAAAGCTGTGCCCACGTGGGGTGGCATATGTACCTGGCGTACAGCAAAGGTCAAATGGTTTTGTTCATTCCTGAGCAAGCAAAATAATTTATGTATACCGTAGAAAAAGGAATGGAAAAAACAGCTACGCCCAAACTCTTGTAAAATCTTAGTATGATAAAATAGCATCTTTTGAGGACGTACTAAAGCATAAAGAAATTCTGTAAGAAATTTTTAGCGGCTGAGTAATTTTAAGGCAGGATGGGGGAAGGGAAAGCAGAGGGAGAGGAAAGGGAAAGGGAAAAGAGAAGAGCTGAATTTGAATCTCTCACTGTACTGGCAGGAGTCAAAAAAGAGTTAACATGGACACAAAGACAATGTTACACTATGCCAACGGACAGAGGTGCTTCCTAATTACTTATAACTTTATCTTCTCTGTCAAAGTCCTATGCAACCTTTGATACCTCACTTGCCTGATGATCTTTTCTGTTTCACTCATTAGAAGGTCAATTCATATTTCTTCTATTAATTCCTATTATTATCGCACACACTGCACCGTGTCTGCTTGCTGGGCTCCCATACCAACTCCCGAGCTTCTGAGGATACACTCTGCATGTGATTCATCTCTAGGCTCACACAGTAGCTGTCCTCTCCATCCAGGATCCCCAGCCAGTAGTCACTGGCTCAGAGTCCCCAGGCAGGGACTCATCTTCCACAGCGGGAAGATGAGACAGCTCACATTTACGGTGCTCATTCCATGTTGAATATTCAAATATGAATGCACATATTCCTCCAAAAGCGCCAGTGAGAGAATACTGTCCCTGTTTTGTAGAAGGGGACACTTTGGCTCAGAGGGGTGAGGGCAGCAGCCAAAGGGTCACATCGCTAGCAAATACAATGAGGCCAGGATGTGAGCCAGAGTCTGACTCCGAATTTGTCTGTCCTCTAGAGCAGACAGCTCAGCCTGGGTCTAATGGGGCCTAGGCACTGGGAAGGATGACCAGGCTGGGCACCAACCCAGCTGTGGTCTTCTAAGTACGGGTGGTACCAAGGAGCTGTGGCAAAGGGAAATAAAAAGGTGAACACCAGCTCAGAGAAGCAGATAGGCGGCTTCTGGAGAAGAAAACTTCCACATGAGTGTAACAGGTGGCCATCTCTGAGATCGGTCCTTTCTGAAGAGAAGGAGCTAGAGCCTGGGTCAGGAGTTCTTAGCCATGTGTGATTGGCTAAGGCCACTGGTCAGAATTTTCCGATCCTTCCAAACGCTACGGGATCATTTGAGGACGTGAACCTACATGTCAGCGTTTCTAGAAGAAAGCTGTGAACAGAAGTGACCACAGGAAGTCTGGGAATGTCACCTCCCTTTCCTTTCCCCACCCTTCAGCTCAGTAAAGGGAACTTCCATGGTGTGTTGTAGGCACTGTCGCACCTCACACCTGTCATCGGCTAAGCCCTGCTCCTCAGGTCTTCTGGGCCTAGGCCTGGCAACCTCCCACCACCTAGGGCCTCGAGTGCTGACCTCGGCACTGAAGGTTTGGCCCTTGCTGGAAAAGATGAGCCAGAGCTGGGAGAGCTGTGTAAAAGGAAGCCATGCTTCGGCTGTTATGTGTCTGCCGACACAACTGACATCCTCAGGTAATTGCTTAATAACTGGTTATAATATTTAGGGAACATTTTTGTCACCTTGCAGGATGATAACTATTACCAATATCAAGATATGAAATCATTTAATTAAATCCACAGACTTAGGTATTTTGAATCCTTTTCTAAGAAAAATATGTCATTTTCATGGCGTATTTGTGAGCTTTAAAATTGGCTTTCTGTATATGTGTTGAAGCAATAACTAGATTATCAGGGTTACAGAAGGATACTCATGAGGAGAGGATGAATTAGACCAGCCTTTTTGGATATTTGGAGTACTGATTCAAATATTTTTTAAATGAAAATGAAAATCCCACTTCTATGTATCTGTACCACTAAAAACCTCAAGCAAAAGTTCACAAAAAGTTCCACAGCAGCCTCGGCAAAGAATCAGAAATAACCTGAGTGCCTATGACCATGAGCATGATTGAAGAAATGTAAAATGCATCCATAAATGGGGTACAACTGTCAAAAATAAATGGTACATTTACTGCTGACTTGGAAAAATAACTCTAACAACTGACAGCTGTAAAAAGAAAGCTGCAGAACAGTTTGCATAGAGATTCTATTTTATGAAACAAAAGCATAATCGTATAGGTTGGGGGTTAGGGCAGAAGGTAGAGTGGAGGACAGAAACAGGTGCAAAATCTAGATGTGTAAGCAACAAATTCATTGGATGGAGGAGGGAGACAAAAGACTTTCTTGTTTACTCAATGCGCTTCAATGTTGTTTGAATTTGTTACAAATGTATACTACTTTCATGATGACAAAAGCAAAAATCAGATTTTAAAAGCCCATGGAATTTAAAGAGCTATCACCATTACTCTTTAAACTCATCAAGGAAATTGAAAGGGAAGCAAGGCTTCCAAATTCATTCCTGGAAGCAAGTGTTACTTTGATTCCAAAACCAGGGAAAGATCCAACCCAAAAAGAGAACTAAAGGCCAATC